AGCGCTCTACCACTTGAGCCACAACACCACTTCCAGCTTTTTCTGCTTATGTGGTACTGAGGAATGGAACCCAGGGCTTTGTGCATGCAAGGCAAGCACTCTACCACTAACCCACATTCCCAGCCCCTGACCTAGCAATTTTATTCCTAATTTTATATCCTAAGGAATAGAAAGAGCCATTCAAATGATTATTGATTCATAAATATTCAAAGCAACACTATTTAGAATTGCTAGAAAGAAGAAGCAACCTAAATATCTCCTCTCCAGCTCCTGCCTCCAAATCCAGCTATACCTTTTATTATAGTGAGCTTCTTACTGCCCACCAACTATAGCCTCCCAGATCCATCCGAATTATTCTACTGTCCTCTCAATCATGAAGCTCCAGATGCTGTGGTCTCTTCTCCCAGTATCCCTTGAAGGAGGAGAAACAACACAGTTGACAACTCTCTTGCAAGATGTTCATGTCCCACATCAAGTTAAATACAATAAAACCCTGGGCTGGTTAAGTCATCATGTAATATAGGCCATGCTCTTTGGGGCCATGTAGACCACCCCAGAGCAACTTACTGAGTGGTAAAGGGAAGCTCATGAAAAGGACAGCAGCCACCTGACCTGAGTGGGCTGGAGGTGCCTGGCCTGGCCTGCAGGTATCTCTTCAGAGGCTTAAGTTATGCCTGACTGAAAGCCCCAGGGCCCAGCTGCCTGCAGGCCACTCGATATCTTCTGAGGTCAGGGCTTCTGCCTGCACCTCTTCCTCTAGCTACTAGGCAGCCAGACCTTCCTAAGCTTCAGATTCAATAAAAATAAAGAGTTGGGATTAAAAATAATTCAAAAATTGAAGAAAACACAAGCAAATAGAGTTTAGAAGAATAAATGTTGTTAAAAAGTCCTTATGGTGAGGGAAGGGGTGACACAGTCCAAAAAGAAATATAGTCTTATGGAGTGCCAGTGGCTCATGCCTATAATCCCTAGCTCCTCAGGAGGCTGAGATCTGAGGATTGAGATTTGGAGCCAGGCAGAAAAGTCCCCATGAGACTCTTATCTCCAATTAACCACTCAAAAAAAAAAAACTCAAAAACAAAACAAAAACAAAAAACTGGAAGTGGAGTTGTGGCTCAAAGTGGTGGAGCACTAGCCTTGAGCAGAAGAGCTCAGAGACAGAGCCTAGGCCCTGAGTTTAAGCCCTACAACCAGAAAAAGAATGTACTCTGTACCTGATTTATGCAACTATAACCTCTCTGTACATCACCTTTATAATAGCAATTTTAAAAAAATTTTTAAAGGGTCCTATTGACCAAAGCAATGCACAGATTCAATGTAATCCCTATCAAAATTACAGTGGCATTTTTTTTTACAGAAATAGAAAAAAAAACTTTATATTTGTATGGGGCCACAAAATATCCCAAATTGCCAAAACAACCTTTCAGAACAACGAAGCTGGCAGTGTCACGCTCTGTGTTTTCAAAATATATTACAAAGCTGCAGTAATCAAAATAACGTAGTCTTGGTATAAAAAAAGAGCAACTGAATAGAATGGATATCCTAGAGATAAATCAACACATTTTATAGTTGATGAACAAGACATGAGCATGGTGGGTTCTTGTTCTTTAAAATACAGAAATAATCATCAGGAAAAAGGCACACAGTTTTAAAGAATTTATTTAGTAAAGAGAAAGTAACCTGGAATCCTTTCATCTCAGTGTTTAGTTCTGGGCTGTTGATTTTATGTTGCATCTGCCCTCCTCCCCTTTCCTCTCTTCAGCCAGTCTGTCAGATTATGATTGGTTTGTTTGAAACAGGCCAGACCTTCCTCTAGGTGGTGGGCTGAGAAAGGTGGCTTTGGCCTGAGACATGGCAAGATCCAAGGCCCTCCCGTGGGTGATAGCTTATAGTCGGGCTGGCCTGGGTTATGGTAAGAGCCAAGACCCTCCCCTGGGTGCTTGCCATCAGAAGAGGAGGAGGCAAGCTGACCCTTCACAGTGAACATGTTTTTAGCAAAGATACCATCCAATGGGGGAAAGAATAGATTCAATAATTATGTTAGGTAAATGGTATGTCCACGTGCAGAAGAATGAAATTAGACCCTTATTCCTTATACAAGAATCAATTCAAAATGAATTAAAGCCTTAATGTGATCTAGAAATAGTAAAAAAACATAAAACAAAAACAAAAACTGTAGAACACAGGGGAAACTCCTTGATATTGGCCGTCCCATGGATATTTTTAATACAACATCAAATGCACAGGGAACAAGAGCAAAAATGAAGTAGGTCTGCATCAAACTAAAAAAAAAAACATATAAGAAGAGACAGATTAGGGCAAAATATGTGCAAATCATCAGATGAGTTAGTATCCAAACTATCTAAAGAACTCACCTAACTCAGTAGCAGGAAAATAAACAGCCAGATTTAAAAGTGGGCAAAGGACCTGAACAGATACTATTTTTTAAAAAAAGACAAATGGCCAACAGGTAAATGAAAATATCACTAGTCATCAGGAAAATGTGAACTAAAGAACATCAAGCTATCATTACACACCTTATAGAATGACTATTAAAAAGGGCAAGAAGGCTGGGTAGATCACCTGTCTAGCAGGAGCAAGGCCTTACATTCCATCCCAGCACCACCAAAAAAGAAACATTGAAGATAATAGGAATAAATTGTAAGCACACATCTCCCAAATAACTAAGCTATTTAAAAAAAAAAAACAGTAAAAGATAGTAAAGGCTGGCAAGGACAAGAAGGAAAGAAAACTCTTGAAAACCAGTGTGAAGTTTTAAAATAGACTTGCTATCTGATCCAGCACCCCTCTTTTAGGTAAAAAGCAATGGAAATAAATGTATGGAAGAGACATCTATCCTCTTGTGTCATTGAAACATTAATAGCCAAGATATGAAGACAGCATAAGTGGCCCAAATGGATGAATGGATAAAAATAATGTAGTGAGTACTCTCAGTAGAATACTATTCAACCTTGAAAGAGAAGGAAATTTTTACACCATAGCACTAGCACAAAAACAGACATAAAGACAGAGGAACAGAATAAAAGATCCAGATATAAAACCACACAGCTATAGCTATTAGGTCTTTGACAACCAGACCAAAAACATACATTGGAGAAAAAGCAGCTTCTTCAATTAATTGTGCTAGGACACTGGATAACTTCTTGCAGGAGATGGAAACTAGATCTCTATCTCATTCTGTATAAAAGTCAATTCCAAATGGATCCTATGTAAGATCTGAAACTGCTACCGGCAAAACTCTGGAAGATATCAGCGCAGGTAATTATTCTCTGAATAGTACTCCAGAAAATAAGAGTAAGAATTGACAAATAAGACTACATCAAATCAAGGTTGGGAAGGTGGCTCAGTGGTAGAGTGCTTGCCTTGCATGCATGAAGCCTGGGTTTGATTTTCCTCAACACCACATTAGCAGAAAAAGCTGGGAGTGGCGCTGTGGCTCAAGTGGTAGAGTGCTAGCCTTGAGCTGAAGAGCAGAGGGACAGCGCCTAGGCCCCGAGTTCAGGCCCCACTGCGGCCAAAAAAAAAAAAAAAAAGACTATATCAAATCCAAAATGTTTTGTATAGCAAACAGACACACATACACATATATACACACACACATACATACACACACACACACACACACACACACATACACAATAAGTCACAGAACAGTAGAAAATATTTACCAGATAAAGGATTAATATCCAGAATACAGAAAGAAGTAAAAAACAGGAAAATAACCCATTTTAAAAATGGACAAATGAACAGACAGTTCTCAGAATCAGACACACAAATGGCTCATAGATATGTGAAGAAATGTTCAGCATCCTTAGCAATAATCAAAACTATACTAAGATTCCATCTCATCCAGTCAGAATAGCAGTCATCAAGAAAACATGTTAGGTGCTAGTGTTTCATGCCTGTAATCCTCTCTACTCGAGGGGTTGAGAGTTGAGGATCAAAGCTTGAAGCCAGCCCAGGCAGGAAAGTCCATGAGATCCTTATCCCCAGTTCATCACCAGAAAGATTAAGTGGACCTTTGGTTCAGCCCCTTGAGCAAATGCTCAGAGACAGTACCCAGGCCTGCCCTCCTTACCTAGAAAATGTTAGGAAAATTCTATCTCAATATTTAAAAAAACAACTTTTTTCTTTCTGATCCCATTACTACAGATGCCAATTAAATTTGTACTAAGAAATTAAAATTATGGTTTTAGATCCTATCCCTTAGAGACTTTAAGCACAAAGGTTTAATGACTATTTTTTTCCTGCTGTTCCTGGGGCTTGAACACTACACTGTACACTGTCATTGAGCTTTTGCGCGCAAGACTAGTGCTCTATTAGTTGAGCCACAGCTCCACTTACGGCTTTTTGGTGGTTAATTGGAGATAAGAATCTCATGGACTTTCTTGCCTGAGCTGGCTTTGAACCACGACCCTCAAATCTCAGCCTCCCGAGTAGCTAGGATTACAGGCATGACAAACCTGCACTGGGCTTTTTATTTTTTAAGGCAGGCCGGACCTACATATGATTTGTATTTGGAAAAAAAGGACTTAAAATAAGGTCATTTTTGGTGGCATTATGCTGTGATAGAAACAATCACAAAACAACAAACCCTGCATGACTCAGGTCAGCCAAGGTTCCCAGAGAGACATGAAGTACAGTAGTGGTGGCCAGGAGAGAATGTTTAGGGGAGTTTATTATTCAGGGGGGACAGAGTTGGGGAAGACCAAAAGATTCAGGAGATGGATAGTAGTGATAATCAGTGGGAATTGATCCCCATTCCCTTATACACTGAAAATGCTAAAGAAAGAAATTTCATGATATATACTGTGACACAACTTAAAAAATAATATCCAAAAAGCTAAAAATAAAAAGTGGGGGCACACCTTGAAGAGCTGAACACTATGTTCTGTTTTATTTTTAGAAAGCCTGCCCTGTTGATTGTGGTGTTAAGTACAAGTAGTTTCTGAGTCTGGCCTTACTGTATTCATTCACAGGAGGATGGACTCCTTTCCATGGAGCAACTAGCCCATAAGATAGAAGATGAGGAAATAAGCCTGGTTGAGAAGCCCAGGGAATACCTCAAAAGAGTTTTTGAGGACTCCATCTACAAAAGCCTGGTGGAGAAGAGCATCCTAGAGTACCTGCACTACAATTATTACCACCTGCCCATGTATGCGTGGCCCGGCATCATTTAGTGTGGCCTGGGTCTCCACTTTTTTGTTTCTATACAGTTAGTTCTTGGAAGTATTCTTTAGAAATAGAAAAGTTCTCCTAAGCCTGGCTTCACAATCAAATGCCAGCTTGGTTCCCTTAATGCCTTTCTGCCTCTACTTAGCCTTGTAGTTTCCTCTGGCTCCAGTAGGTGGCGCTCAGCTGTAGATCTCTATTCTGGGACAGGGAACTTTATAAATACCAAGCATGTTCATGTGTATAATAATCCACTTTAGCAATAAAACGAGATCATACTGTATAAAAATTGCTTTTACCTTGTGAGATTCTGTGTGATTTCCTGGGACTGCCCAAGACCAATTTTGATAAGTCCTCCAGGTATTTGCTCAATACTTGAAGATGATTAAAAAGAATGGAAAATTAGTAAACAGATGATAAGAAATGAACTCTGTAGCCCAACATCAGAAAAACTGATTAGGTAGAAAAAACTTGCACGACCTTTTGAAACCAAAGAGACTAATATCTCAGACTCTATAATTCTTTATTCCTATTGATGATCATGAGCATAAAAATACAGACTGGAAACCAAAAACTCACATAGATTTTGGGATTGAAAATAATACTGGGAAATTAGGACCTTTTCTTTGATCCTGAACAATGTTGCTTTTCTGGGTGGTACCTGTCACCTATAATGTAGCTAAGAAACCTTCTCTCATAAGCAGTTACTCTCTAAAAATCACATGAATTCAGGAACAACACATTAGATTGTTTACATGTACTTTGATATCTCCTTATAGTGTGGCACAACTATTTGACTAACAACAGAGCTTACAATTGGTTCCCATGAACACAATTTCCAATTACACTCTTAAAAATCAATGCTAACATTTGTGTGTGTGTGTGCGCGCACACACGCGCGCTTGTACTGGGACTTAAGTTCAGGACCTGGGCACTGTCCCTTAGCTTTTTTGCTCAAGACTAGCACTGTACTACTGGAGCCGCAGCTCTGCTTCTGGGTTTTTACTGATTAATTTGGAGATAGGAGTCACATTGACTTTCCTGGTCAGAATGGCCTTGACCTGCAAGTCTGAGATCTTACTCTCCTGAGTAGCTAGGATTACAGCCTTGAACCACTGGCACCTGTCTCTATGCTAACATTTTGCAAAAGTGGGGACACTGACACAGATTACCAAGCTACTGAAAATCAGAGCCAAAAGACACAAATCACTGCTGCAAAACTACAGGACTCGGAACTATCAAGTTGTCTGATGCTTCTCAAAAACATCCCAGAACACTGGACTCTGATGACTCCAAGACAGATTAAAAACAACCAATAAATGCTGCTAATTCCTTCACATGTATGGGGTATACAAACACATTGGGATGGTATTTTTTTGTACACAGATACCCGTAGGTAGGGAGGCCCAGCTTGGGCCATACCATACAAACTGTCATTGGATGGGGAAGAGTTGTTCCTGGTCTCTGCCTCAGAACTCAAAAACAACACGCACGGCAACATTTCAAAGTCTGGTAGCCCAGTCCACTCAGGCTACTCTCATTCGTTTCCTGAGAGGACCTGGGTCAAACTCATCAGCAAATGGAATTTCTATGACAAGCCCCAGGAAGGCTGAGGTGAAGGAGACCAGAACAACTTCAGCCAGAGGATCAACAGTTAGGACTTCTGTGACCAAGTATTACCATGACAAAGCCTCTAGTCACACACAAGTGACCCCAAATGGCAATGTCAACCTTAATACCAACTCATGCATCAATTTGCTAATAACAGTTTTCCACTGCTGCCTCTTCTAAAAAGAAGCCTTGGGCTTTCATAAGCCTGTGGCATTTTTAAAATCTCTTGCATATACTTCTGCTTACAAAGCGTTTCCATCCGATGACATTATTACATCCTTGTCCCATTCTTAGGAAATTTAATCTAGGACATTTTTATCAGCTATGCTAAATGATTTCCTGAATCTAACAGTTGTGGCATGTATGTACAGACTTCAGAGCTTTATCACTGAAGAACAATTTTCCTAATCAGAATTCAAGTCATAGCTTGAAATTGGCAATTTTAAGAACTTTAGGAGAATAAAGTTGATGGTAAGACAGTCTTCACAAATGAAAAAGCTTTAAAAAGACCAGTATTTGGACTTTCTGGGTGTACAAGACAGAGATAGGTGAACCAAGGCTCCAGATCCTTTTGTATTTGAACATTTGCTGTTGATTCACGGTCATTTTGAAGTTTCATCGTTTTAAGCAAAATATGTGCCATGAAAACAATTTTACAAAGTCCCATTCCCCCAAATCACATGTAATAACCATGCATCATTGCTGCCTCGAATGATATACTGACAGATATCAAATTTTAAATTAAAACTATGGCTACCTCCTTCCCCCAAAATGGCTTCTTATAGTATTATTAATAAGAGACAAAATAATGGAGGGAAGTAAATGCTATGCAAAAAAAAAGATAACCAATCAATAGGAGAGGGAGGGAGAGAGGAAGAAGGAAGGGGGCAGGAGAGAGAAAAAGCAAAAGAGGAGGGGGGAGAGGGAGGGAAGGAGGGAGAGAGAGAGAAAGGGAGAGGGAGGGAGGAAGAGCACTTGGGCAAGCAAGTGTTAGCCAGGAACCCAGGAGAAGAGCTGTGGATTGTTTTCTGGTTGAGAGGCATGATGATAAGGCCGGATAAAGTAAGCGCAGGGACGGGGCACGGAGCCCAGCAGCTGTATGCTAATGCTCACAGAAACCAAGCCTCCGCGTCCCCCATTAAAGCAGGCGACCAGGAGGCCACACATCACTGAACAAATAGGCTCTCTCTAGACAAATAAAATAACACACGTTGGCCTGTGGGAAGGGGGGAGGAGGTGGGGAGAAGACTATGCGGGAGAAGGAGGGGGAGAGGGAAGATAGTTGGGAGAGGAGAGAGAGAAGCAGGAGATGGAGATGAAACAGAGAAACTGGGAGAGGGAAGAGGAGAGCGGGAAGGAAGGGGGGGAGAGGAGAGGACGGAAGGACTGGAAGTGAGGGAGAGCAGGAGGGGAAAGATGGAAAGGAAGAGCCGGGAGGAGATAAAGAGGAGGGAGCAAGACCCCTAGAGAGGACGGATGGGCCTGGAGGACCAAGATGGAGGAAGGAAGCGTTGGTGGAAAGGATTGGTGGGAGAGTGCACTGGGTTGGGGATTGAGTTCAGGGGAAAGCACTTGCCTGGCAAGTGCAAGGCCCTGAGTTTGGTTCTCAGCTGGGGGGGGGGGGGGGTCTCGGGGAGAACACGCCCCCTGAACCTAAGGGCAGGAGCCCAGGCCTAGGCAACAAATGGCACCCTTTCTGACTCCTGTCAGGTGGAGGGGGTGCGTAAGGCTTGGGCGCGCGCGCGCGTGGCCTTTCTGGTCACTTAGGCTCAGGTTTTGTGGGTGGATTCCCCAAGTCAGGCTTTGTTTCCCAAGTTCAATGTGATGAGGGTCTGGGGGGCGCCGCCCCGCGCTTTCCACCCCATTCTCACTGGCTGGCTTCCCCACATCCTCTGGCTTGGTTTTGGCCAGCGTTGGCCAGCACTGCCCTTCCTGCCGCCCAGCCCAGGCCAAAGAAGAAACACAAACGCCAGGCCTGAAGGCACTTCAAGGAGCGCGAGGTGACCCCCAATGGCACACTCAAAAAAAAAAAAAAAGCCACCGGTCCACCGCGGCCGCATAATGGGCGCGCAGCAGATTGCCGGGGGGCACTTGAAACTCCAGGGGAGGGACCTACTTGAGCGGGGTCCCTCCAGAGCCCGGCGGACCCGCGGCCGCGAAGTCCCCCTTGTTCGCTCTCTTTCATGCACTCTCCTTTGTGTGGAATTATTTAAACGGGAGATCCGTGGCAGCTTTATGCTAATGTACGGAACAAAGGCAAGGGCCCCGCAGGCGGGGCCCCCGGAAGGTGCCTGGAGGCCCCGAGTGTGGCCAGGCGGGGCGGCTGCGCGTGTCTCTCGCGTGCCCCTGGGACCAACACAACAGCCCCCCATTCCTGCAAACACAAAGCCCCAAAGCCGGGCGCGCACCGAGAGGACCGGAGCGCTGGGGGCTCCTTGGGGACCTGGCAGCGGGCACCAGGGGGGCAACATGCTGTTCCAGCCGGGTCATCGCTTTTGGGGTTCCAGGGGTGCTGGAGGGGGCTTCCACTAAGCCGAGAGGAGGTGTGCTGCCGAATGGAAGAGGGGGAATCTCACACGCACACACACCCCCGTGCCTGGGCTGGGTGAGAGTTCTAACCGGCTGGTCTTCTCTAGTAAGTTCAAGTTCCCTAAGGAGCCAACTCCTAGCCTTCAGCGCTCACTTCTAAGAGTCACGCTTTCTAGAAACTCCTTGGAGCTTCAACTTTGATTCTGAGCTGGGCTAGACTCTCAGGGAGTTCGGCCGCGTGACGGATGCCAGCCTGACACCCCTGGACAGAAGACTCTGGAGCGGAGCTGGCCACCCCGCAGCCCTCTGAGGAGGAGCCCGCTCACCATCCTCTGCCAGAGACTAAGACGCAAAAAGGCCCTGAGATTCCCCCCACCCCTTCAAATCACTGGTCTACACCACACAGGGAAGGAAGCAAGGAACTGACTTGAATCAGGGGAAGGACACCACGATTTTGCTTGGGATACTTTAATGACATAGACACACACACACACACTCTACAAATTTAGGCTCCAGAATTTCCCTAGCCCACTTCCTGTGGTCCCTGCTTGATGTGGCAGTGCCTCAAGGCAGGCCCCGGGGGCTTAGTGTGGGAGCGCTTTGCTCTTCAGAGAAGACAAATACCAGGACGCGAGGCCCCCATCCTATAGGGCGCTCAGATTCTAAGAAAATCACACCGAAGGAGGCAGAAATCCAACCTCGGGTGCAGGGCTGCGTCAGCTGGAAAGTAGCTGGTGTGTGCGTGCGCGCACAGCCTAATTCGTCCTCGGTTTCAACTGCTGATACCCTTCGAGTTTTCACTAATGTGGACTGGTACGCAGCTAAAGGCAGCAGATCTCATCCCTGCTGGCAAGACTGAAATAAAAAGAACCGTATCCATCGAATCTTAGTAGATATGCTATCAATAGAGCTCAACAGATTGGACTAAATTCAGAGCCCTGGTTATTTCCTTCTGTCCGGGATTCTTTTTAGTTGGTGGTGGTATCCTGCCTTACAATTCTGAATGTTATTTTGTAAGGATTCACTTGAAGACGAACTCTCCCTATTATCTATTGGATGAAAACGCAGTGTTGTGTGCCCATGACCAAATACACTGTAGTTGTGGGATCGACCGCCGACCTCCCCCCCACCCCGCCCGGTCCTATTATTCCACAACCCAGATGGGATTCCTGATTAGAAAATAAAATTGGCCAAAGCTGTCTCGGAATCCCTTCCCACTTCTAATTTCATCAGCAGTATTAATCAGCACCCAAAAGGAGCAAGAACGTAACATCAGTTAACTTTTTAGATCGAACCGGGTTTGGCAAATTTTACATTTTATAATTTTAAACTTTTTTTAAGGATTAGTGCTCATCACGATTATCGTTTTAAAAATGAGAGCCTTTAAAATATGTTCCGTTATATGTTCTCTTCTCTTTTCGGCGTGTGGGTTAAAAAAAAAAAAATCCCAACATAAGATCATCAACCATTATTCCTCTTGACTAAGCGCTTGGCTGGTAACTAACCCTAACAACAGGATTCCACCAAAAAAACTTGTCTTCATTTCCACGCCAGGGTATTTTTCAGAGGGGAAACCCGGGGCAATTAAATACCTTCAGTGGAATTAAGCATCAGCAAAACTCAGCAAAGCCTATCCGGTGTACAGGGTTTTGTTTTTGCACAAAAAGATGTTTCCCTCGCTTTCGACAGTGGCATTTCTCACCACACAGGACACTTCCCGTGGCCTGGCTACTTTTGTCTTCGAGGGGGTGGGCGATGATCAGGGCCCCTGGCACTGTGGCGGGGCTCTCTGCCTTGTCTCCTCCAGAGATTCTACCTTTTGTTTCTAGGTGCTGGGCCGAGAAGGGGACGGGATAAGGAGAAGACTGCCGGGTCTAGGCCCAGGCGGGGCAGCGCGGGGGTGAAGGTGTCCCTCCGCTGGTGGCGCGGGAGCCGCTACCAGTGCTGCGTGAGGCCGCAGCCTGCGTTGGAGGACAGATTGCCCCCCTCCCCCTCCTCCCCCCTCCCGGGCCGGCAGCACGCGTCTCTTTTACGTCCAGATTGGCCGCGACTGCTGCTCAATAGCTGGAGGTTAATTTCCTTCACAAAGGTGAAGGGGGCATGGCTGGGGGAGAGATGGAGGAGCGGGGGGAGCGCCCAGACAGGCGGCCCCTTTATTCCACAGCGCCTTGATTGGAGCCCTTGATTTAGCATCTGATGTCAACCGGCAGACAAAATGCCCACTCAGAATGAAAATGCATGAGGCAGCGCGGGGAAGGCGGAAACCAACTTCATTCCGGGAGCACGCACCGAGCTGACCGCAGGTTCGGCCAATTCGACGGGGATAAACCCTGCCCTGGGAGGCACCGAGAAGCCCGAGCCCAGGGCCCGGCGGGGATGCCCATCCCCGGCCCAGGTACCAGGGGAACGAAGGTTCGTGATAAAGTTCAGCAATCCAAGTTCCTTTTGGAACCCAGCCTGTCCTCCTCCATCCCCAGTCCCAGTCTGCCTGGCCAGGGAAAAAGTGCTGTGCTTTCAAGTGTTTCTCAGCCTCGAGAGAGGAACCTTCCATCCTTCCAACCGCGTGCACGAACTCGCCCTGGGCTGTAGCCAAGGGGTCCGCTCCATCCACACTCAGAACCCCCGGGGCCCGAGGTCCACCGGGCCAAGGAACCGGCCAGGATCTTGGCCAGTGGGACTTCACAGTTATCATCCCTTGCCCTCCTGTCCTCAACTCCAAGCGGACTCCGCCTCCACCCGCGCCCGGGGCCCGCTCCCACCGCGAAGCAGCCTCAGCCCCGGGGTCGCCCCGCCTCCACCCCGTCAGAGCGCACAGCACAACTTCCCCCTCCGCTCTGGCTCGCGGGTTGAACCCTCCTGACATATTTGGGGCCATTCTTCTCCTTTGTTGCTATTTTGCTCGCGACCCGCGAGTAATCCCCGCGCGGGAGGGGGGCGTGCATTGTCGTGCTGATGGACGGGCCCATTTGGCGGCTCTGCGCCCCCCGGAGGAGAGACACAAAGCCCAGGCACGTGCGCCTCCCCATAGAAGAGCAGCAGACCGTGAAGGGAGGCGGGGCCGGGCGTGTGCCTGGGCCAGGCGGGGCGGCGGCGCCGGGCGGGGCGGCCGAGGGGCGCGCGCTGGGGCCCCGCGCCCTCAGGTACATCTGCCGCACCTACCGGGCGACCCCCGAGTCCCGGCCCCCTTTTTTTTTGCCGCTCGGTCGCCCTCCCACCCTACCGGGAGGAGGAACTGCGAACGTTCTGATTGGTTCTGGGGGAAGCGGGAGGCGAGAACAATGGCCCCCTCCCCCCGTTAAAAGGGAGCGGCGCCCGGGCCCGGGGACAGGGACGCGCGTGCAGGGCGCACAGCCGGGCTAGCTGTCTCCGGCGCCACGCGAGTTCCCGCAGCCGCCGAACCCGGGCAATGGCCTGGGGGCATTAAGGGCCTCTGGGGCTGAACGCGGAGGTGGGACGCAGCCAGTGCCTCGCCCTCGCGCCGCGCCAACATGCCCCGCGGCTTCCTGGTGAAGCGCAGCAAGAAGTCCACGCCCGTGTCCTACCGGGTCCGCGGTAGCGAGGACGGTGACCGCGCGCTGCTGCTCTCGCCAGGCTGTGGGGGCGCCCGCGCCGAGCCCCCGGTGCCAAACCCCGGGCCGGGGCCGCTGCTACTACCGCCGCCGCCGCCTACCGAGCGCGCCCATGCGGCGCTCGCTGCCGCGCTCGCCTGCGCGCCCGGCCCGCCGCCACCCCCGCCGGGCCCGCGGGCCGCGCACTTCGGCAACCCCGAGGCCGCACACCCCGCGCCGCTCTACAGCCCCACGCGGCCCGTGAGCCGCGAGCATGAGAAGCACAAGTACTTCGAGCGCAGCTTCAACCTCGGCTCGCCGGTGTCGGCCGAGTCTTTCCCCACTCCCGCCGCGCTGCTCGCCGGGGGCGGTGGCGGCGGCGGCGGCAGCGGCGGCGCGACCGGCGCGGGCGGTGGCGGCACCTGCGGCGGCGACGCGCTGCTTTTTGCCCCTGCCGAGCTCAAGATGGGCACCGCGTTCTCGACCGGCACCGAGGCCGCTCGAGGTCCCCCACTCCCCCCGACCGCCGCCCTGCGTCCCCCGGGCAAGCGGCCCGCGCCCCCGTCCGCCGTCGTCGCTGAGCCGCCCGCCAAGGCAGCCAAGGCCCCGAGCGCCAAGAAACCCAAGGCCATACGCAAGTTACACTTCGAGGACGAGGTGACCACGTCGCCGGTGCTGGGGCTCAAGATCAAGGAAGGGCCCGTGGAGGCGCCGCGGGGCCGCGCGGGGGGCGCGGCGCGGCCGCTGGGCGAGTTCATCTGCCAGCTGTGCAAGGAGGAGTACGCCGACCCGTTCGCGCTGGCGCAGCACAAGTGCTCGCGCATCGTGCGCGTGGAGTACCGCTGCCCCGAGTGCGCCAAGGTCTTCAGCTGCCCGGCCAACCTGGCCTCGCATCGCCGCTGGCACAAACCGCGGCCCGCGCCCGCCGCCGCGCGTGCGCCGGAGTCCGAAGCCGCCACCCGGGCCGAGGCGCGCGAGGTTAGCGGCGGCGGCGGAGGCGGCGGCAGCGATCGGGACACGCCGAGCCCCGGCGGCGTATCCGAGTCGGGCTCCGAGGACGGGCTCTACGAGTGCCATCACTGCACCAAGAAGTTCCGCCGGCAGGCCTATCTGCGCAAGCACCTGCTAGCACATCACCAGGCGCTTCAGGCCAAGGGCGCGCCCCCGGCGCCCCCGGCTGAGGACCTACTGGCCTTATACGCGGGGCCCGACGAGAAGGCGCCGCTGGAGGCGGCCGGCGACGGCGAGGCGGCCGGCGTGCTGGGCTTGAGTGCACCCGCCGAGTGCCACCTGTGCCCAGTGTGCGGGGAGACGTTCCCCAGTAAGGGCGCCCAGGAGCGCCACCTGCGCCTGCTGCACGCCGCGCAGGTGTTCCCCTGCAAGTACTGCCCGGCCACGTTCTACAGCTCGCCGGGCCTCACGAGGCACATCAACAAGTGCCACCCGTCCGAGAACAGACAGGTGATCCTCCTGCAGGTTCCCGTGCGCCCGGCCTGCTAGAGCGCGCCCTCCACCCCGGGCCCCCAGAACTGTGCCTTCGCTTGGAGCCCCACAAAGAGAGTGTGCCCTTCGTGCCCCGATCCTGTGTCTGGCGCCAGGGGTGCGTGCCTGCATCCCCACCCCGGGGTGGAAGTGTCGTCTACGATCCTCTCGATGTGGGGTGATGGGAACCCCGATCCTCTGTCATGACTCTTTTCGGACCCCTCTTCCCTTTTGTGTTGAGTCTCCCTTTCCCCCTGGCGCAACAGGAGTCCATCTCTTTCTTTACGAGGGAGAAAAGCTGTACCCGTTTGTCTCGTGATTGGAAGCCTCCCCTTACAGGGGGCGAAGCTGTTTTTCTTGCTAGTATTTCGCTGTGTTTATGGTCTAGAATTGCGGTTTGCTCTTCGCCTACCAATCTCTCTGCTCTGTCTGTAGCGTACGGGTTGTTTTGGGTGAATCTTGAGGAATAAAATGCCTTTATATTTCACAGGCTGTAAATTGAACTTCCCACACGATTAGCTTTATTATGGCTTGTGAACTGCTGGAGTCTGGCTTTACCTTTTTGTATGTGAACAAATCAAATTGCTTAAAGAGTTTTCTTTAGTATAGCCACAAATGCCTTGAACTGTTGTCTGTTTGGGATTGGGTTTTTTGTTTGTTTGTTTTGGACGGGGTGGGGAGGGAAGGGAATTTTCACAAGATGCTGTAGTAACTGCCTCAGTATTTCACATGACTTATGATGTGATCATCTGCGTTGAGGTAGGACTATAATGAGTTCCCTCTAAATGTATATGTTGATTTATGAGTACTTGTTATTTATTCTTTATTTATTTATATTAATTATGAAGATTATGATATAATTTGATTGCAGATTATTTGTTTTGGTGTGATCCTCCCCCCCCACTCGACATTTCACTGTGCATTTTAGAAGAGAGCCTTTTTTTTTCTAAAGGGATCTGCTAAAAGTTTTAACTTTTATACCTATCTGAGGGAATTACAGACAACCTACCATTTTATTCTGCTTGGAGGGCCCCAAGGCCCTTGTACAACCGACAGCTCTTACTTTTAAATGCAATCTCTTTTCTACATACATTATTTTCTTAATTGTTAGCTATTTATAGAAAGCTTCAATAGAACTGTTTCAACTGTATAAATATTTACTATTCAAATAAAATATTTTCAAAGTCAAAGTAGAGTGGATTTACTACTGCACTGCATGGTTCCAACAAGGATCTCTTCTAATTATGTATTTTTAAAGCCCCTTCCCCCTTTTTAAATTAAGAAAAAGAAACCTATTTGCATTACTGGGGTTTTAGATAGGATTCTGAATGTCTGGGTTCAGCATTTGGAGGGTGTAGTCTTGGGAGAAGCTAGCTAGAAAGCTCCTTTGGAGGTTCTTACAAATGTACTAGAAAGTGGGTTGCAATGAAGGCCATGAGGACCCTGTCAGAAAAAGCTAAAAGTGACCCAACAGAATCTACCCAGTTCACCAGGAGGATATATTAGAAACACTTTGATTTAGCAAATCCTCCACTTCCTTACAATTTCATTCCTCAAATGAATTAATTAGGTAGTTTTTGTTCATCAAGGACCAACTAGAAGAAAACAATTTTCAGATTTTCAAAATAAGGGTAGCAAACCAAATTCATATACGAATCCAACAAAACTGAAGCAGCTGGGTTCAGAATAAGGTCTCTGAAAGAAGTTCGTAAGTTCCCAATCAGGTGAGCAATCTCTTTTGGGGGGAAAGTGGGACACCATCTGTTTGGGGTATTAAATTTAATAGCAGGTGATTACAACGTCTGCCGTCATGTGCTCTTTCAAGAACAATTCTGACGCTCACCAGTGAATATTCTGAGTTGTTTTCCAGTCTTTCAAACATTTAGGAAGCTGGGCTAAACAAAATTGTTCCTTCCCTCCATTTGTGTTTTTACTACTTCTTTCCTGAGGTCTCCTAAACCTTCCAGCCACACTGGCTTGCCAAAGAGATCCTAAAACTCTACACAGTAAACAGAGTAAAAATAATAAAGATAGCTGGGATAAGAATGGCCTGCACCACACATGAGGAACTTAAAGAATTGACAAAAGATCATTTTGGGGACTGGAGGAACAGCTGAGTGGTAGAGGCAAGGCCCTGGATTTGCTCCTGAGTAGACAGATCATACACATACATATGTACATGTATATATTCTTTTTCACATTTCCAGCCCTGAGATTTTGAGGGGGGGGAGGGTTTCCTCAAAGGCTCAGCTGGCGGAAACATTGAATATTCCTCCCTTCCTTTGTGAGGAAGGATCTCACAGACTCAGAACAACAACCAAGGAAAAAAATCTCTTACAGAAAGAACCTATTCTGGTCACCAAGGGGACCTAAGTGGCCAGTTTGATTTAGCAAATCCTTCACTTCCCTACAATTTGAGGCTCAAGGCAACAGCAATTCCTCAAATAAATTAATTCGGTAAGGATCTAGGAACAACATAGGAATGACTTATGGTCATATTTTAAAACAAGGGGAGCAAACCAATTCACAGGTAACCTGGGTCCAGAACAAATTGCCAGCCACACCTCATACCCCCCAGAACAATGATATGAGGTTTTCTTCTTTTGTTTTTTTGGTGCCAGTACTGGAGCCAGTACTCAAGGCCTGGGTGCTATCTTCAGCTTCTTGAGTAGCTAGGATTACAGGCATGGCCTCGCATGATCGGAGAACTTCCCTTACTACAAAATTTGGGTTGCATTACATATTAAAAGAGTCCCCTGGTCAAGCACTGGTGGCTCATGCCTGTAATCCTAGCTACTCGGGAGGAGGCTGATTGCTGAGGATAGAGGCTCAAAGCCAGCCAGGGCAGGAAAGTCTTGAGACACTTAAAATAACCAACAAAAAGCAAGAAATGGAGCTGCTCTGGATCAAGTAGTAGAGCAGTAGTCTTGAACACAAAGGTGCAGTGACAGTGCCCAGGCCCTGAGCTCAACCCCCAGGACTTGGCACATCATACATTCACACAAAACTCCAAATGTGGGCCGGTGTGTGTATGTTCTATGGGAATATTTTTTTTTTCTTAAAAGCATGAAGTTAGGCCACATACAACAAGTCCAGACCTGTCTTCAGGAATGGCATCCCATCTGTGCTAGATTCATGGTGTTCTTGTCCATAATCAGACAGTGAGAATTCACCTGAGGTTAACCTTTGGGAACATAAATAGAACAGTTATTCACAATTGTGCTCCTTTGTTCCCTGGAAAAACTGATTTGAGTAGGTTAAATATACCTTTTCTAGAATAAAAAACCACAATAGTATTAATGGGAGAGATTAAGTGGGGCTGAACAGGAAAAGGAGAATATTGATATTGACTGACTAAATGGTATAAAATAAAATTTTGGTCAACTTATTTCTAAGTAATGCAATAGGAGTTGGCTTCTACAGGGAGCAAATCAGGTTCTCCTTTTTCATGCTTGCCTGGACAGGAGCTCCAGGGTTCCTATTATAACACCAAGTTGAAAGGCATGCCCCTTTTCTATATGGAAGCAAAGGCTGCTGTGTGTGCTGAGATTGCTCTCCTGTATCATCAGTGGAAGCCAGCTCAAGACGCCCACTCCACCCCACAACAAGGGTCTGGTGGTAAGTAGATGAGGGGTCAGGAACAGCAAGGAGGAGCTGAGAGGAAATGAACAAAGCAAGGGGTTTCTTTCTTGCCAGTGCCACCTCATTTCTCTATTTTTATAAAATTTGGTAAAACAAGCAAAAGGATGTTCTGTTCTCCTTTGGTTCCAGAGCGAGCCTGTGGTTGGAACAGTGGCCCCTTTCTTCAGGGCTAATGTGGCTGTCTCTGCCTTCGGAAGCCTGGAGCAGCTGGGAGCCCCTCTAGCCACCAAGAGCAGGAATGGCACCCTGCAAAAGTCTGTCCTGGATGAGCTTAGCCAAGGGTCTAAGCGGGGCAGGCTTCCTTTCCCTTTTCACAGCACCATGGACAGGGGTGCTTGTACCTTTCAGAAGACTTGGGCATGGCTAGGCTCTAGCCATACACATGTAGTAGCACTTGGGGGCAGGCCAAGGTCCCCTGCAGACACACAGGTGTACCAAATCAGGAGGGGTGGCAGTAGCTTTAGGAGGATATTGCTTGGCATGCATGTGCCCAGGCATGCTGGTGGGCGCGTTTTTGTTTGCTCTGCTGTCAGCACCTGACCTAAAAGTCCAGACTCCTCTTCCCAGTAGCTGACAACTTCCTTCCTTTTGGACTTAATTCCACAGCCTTCCACAGAGTAAAAAACACCCACCCACCCCCACCAAAAAAAATGCACAAGAATCTCTTAAGGATCCTAGGAAACAGCATTGGAGGAATTCTTCCTGTGCCATTTGTCTTGGAATAAGAGTTAAGCAGGTTCGATGGTTTTATTCAGTTGAGTCATTTGGCTTCCTGCAGTCTTCAATCTCTTCATCTGTAAAGCAGAGACAATTCTGCTACTAGCTATCAGTGGGATCCGTGGTTATGGTGAGATATCTGGGGAGCATTCCTAAGCCTGGGGATAAAAGGCAGTGAGGATTCAAAGGGTGGTCTTCATACAGGCAAGGGAGAACCTCTTTGTTAGGAATGCCATTTGGTATGACACATAGAATTCACTATAAACCAGACAGCTTGTGGCAGGCTTATCTGAGTAAAACTTGCCTTCTGCAAATATTTTGGCGTTATAAAGGAATGTTCTGACAACTAGACCCTATTGTATGGGGAAAGACAGGTCACCCAGTTAACTTGTTATGAAGCCAGGGTAAGTAGGAAGTTTTTGATGGCCAGGCTAGAGAAAGCGGTAATGCTCAATAATGGAAGGTTTAAGTTATGGAATTTAGAAAAGAACAAGGAGGAAGCTGAGTTAGAGAGAGAAACCCATGGTAGGTTTTCCTATTCACAAAGTGCCAAAATGTGCCAGAGTAATAGAATCAACTCAATTAACAATGTTCAATGATCCTGATTTCATTTGATCACCAAAGAGGTACCAAAACAAAGAGAACATGGTAGTCTAAGA